CCCCCTTTTGGGTCCGATAGTGGCTCCCCGTATCTCATGCTAGAGCCCTCTCTTCTTCTCTTTCTCTCTTTTTCCTTTTTGTGTGATATGGACTCTAAGTAGAAGAAAGGATCAGACTTTTTCTTTTTTGTCTCGATCCTTTAACTAACTAAAACCAGGCAAACACTATACAGTTGGTCTAAGCCGGGTCACGGTTGGTAGATTGGTGAGGTTTGTGATGCAGGTAGCCTGACAGTCCTGGGCACTAGCTTCCTAATTCTCATTCTGATCTCTTTCTCGATTCTGTGGCTTTGACTTACGACCAATTGTTGAGTGTTTGCCCCAGCTTTCAAAATAAGTCAATAGCTCTCATTGTAGGTTTATGATCAAATGTAATGTTACAATTACGTGTGTGATCTGACATTTTGATGCAAATAACGCGTCAAGTTGACATGATATTAGTGAAATCTCAATTCTGCGTTGCATTTCATGGATGCACAATTAATTTTCAATTTAATAATTATTCTTGATTAATATACATATTGTGTGGTAAATTGTGTATTAATATTACTCTTATTATGTTAAAGTTGTAGAGGTTACAATATTAGACAGTAATGATAGGAGGTATCTAGTAATAGGTCATTAGATAATGGTACTCTATTAAGATAACTTGTCTTACATTGTGTATACAATATAAGTTGTAGGTATAGGTAATATGGTATGGTATTAAGATAGGAATGTATTTGTATATAGCAAGGTTAATATGGTATAGATATCATTGTGTCATATTAAGATTGATAGGTTAATAAGTTAATGTAGGTATAAATATAATGGTATGGTATTATAAGATAAGAATGTACTTTTATAGCAAGGTTAATATGGTATACATGTACATGTAGGTATCATTGTGTAATACAAGGTCATAGGTATAGTAGTAGAAATTAGAAGGGTACAGGTTATATAGTGTAGGTAATAGTAGAAATTATAGGAACCATGTAGTGTTAGGTATACAGATTATAAAAGTGTAAGTATAGTAGTAGAAATTAGAAGGCAGTTATAGGTATAGTATAGGTATTGTAGTAGAAATTAGGAAGCAGGTATAGTTATCATTAGGTTATAGTATAGGTATTGTATAGTAGAAATAGAAAGTAGTTATAATAGAAATTAAGAAACAAGTAGTTGTAGGATACAGGTTATATAGTGTAGCTATAGGCTTTAGGTCTAGGTTTTATCATTTTTTATTATTTATTTATTATCATTATTAGTATTTTTTATAATTAAATTTATTATTTTTATTTATTTATTATTATCTTATTATTTTTTTTACCTGGGGCCCCAGGTTTTTATAATTTTTGGGCAGCAATGTAGTGCCGCCTCCACGTGGTGCTGCCTGAGATCACTAGTGGTTACTACTGCTAGTGATGCTAAGAGCACTACATACAAGAAGAGAATAAATACTAACAGTAAGTCAGTAGCTATGTATGATGAATTACATTCCATTGTTAGGTTAATGACATTAAGAGATAAGTACAATTCTCTGCTATTGAAGACTACATTAAGAAGAATATTTAATAGTATTGTATCATATTTCAATATTAACTCACTAAGCATCATAATTATTTGTTTTTCTTGCTATTGATTGTTGCTTGAAGCTCTATATTGAGAAGACTACTATGAAATGTGAAGCATAGCTTAAATTACTAATTTTTTGTTTACAATTGTAATTTTTAACATTATGTAACTATTTTTGTTTATTACACAATGTCTTCTTTATTTATTATTATTCTTGATTACAATTACTGCGAGAGCCATTAATGGAGAAGCTGGTGCCATAATTAATATATAAACAGAAATGAGATGAAAAATGACAACAAAATAATATTGCACACACTTCCGGCATACGTGTACATGTACATGTACCAACAAGAGTACAGTGATGTTGATTAAAAGAATTAATAGACCAGTCTGATAATGTTGAGTCCTTCATTCCTAAATCCAGTCTATAAATCTTCAGTAT